TCCTGGTATTGAAGATAATATGCACAGAATCTTGCCAGCCTGGAAAGTTCGCCTAAGCTTCTGTGTCCATAGTGTGTATTGAGAACTCATTGCATAGATGTGCTTGACACAAACGTGCCTGGATACCCTGTCTATATCAGTTGGAAGGTATTGACCCAAAGCTCCCACCTTAAATCTTAGTTGTTTTTTTTCTGGAAGTGTTTTACTATTCACCAAATAGATGGTGGTTCAAATCCATCCAGAGATACCTCAGAAAAAAGACCTGCTGAAAAAAAAACAAACAAAAAGACCTGCTGATCTTCTTTAGAAAAGTCATAAGCTCAAGGATATCAATGCCCCTAGCAGCACTACTCTGTACATCGGGTCACAGGACTCAGAATTGAATAATACACTAAAAATCACAATATATGTCCAAATATATGAACACTGGCTTTTGTTTGTTTTACCGTTAACTTGGAGGATGGTAAGAAAAAGCTAATTAATATGTTTATTTTATACTTCTTGTCCTTCTTGGGATTATTCATGTGTGTCAAGAAAACATCAGTTCATAAACTCATCAGCCTGGATAGAGATAAAATACCCTGTCTAGATATTTGTACACCTGGGATCACGGAAGCAGAGTACCACATCAGAAATGTACTCACTGACGGAGTAATGTCTTCTTTGGTTCACTGGATCCTCTATTTGACAAGAATTCTAAACAGAACAGACTGTCCAGGATTCCATTTTAGAACTTTACGAATTTACTCTGACAATTTTCAGGAGTTTATTTAAATGATAGTTTGGCAGAGTTATCAAAAAGATATGATATCTCCTGAAAGAAGCAATTGCTTTGGGTGGCATCCCTGCAAGCTTAAAAGATTGTATGTGGATTTGCAGAGAAGCAGTAAATAAAAAAACATGGTCTGTAAGGGAAACTTGAGAGTTTTTTTCCAATGTAAAGCATGAGTTTGCTTTCTGGCTATCATCCTGCTAAAACTGGCTACTAGTTTTCTGGGTTTTATAAGCATTATAGATACATTTATAATTATTATAGATATTTCAAAAGTTATGTATGTTCTGATATTTTCATCACTTTCTTTTTTATACTCTAAAATTGGTTGAAATTTTTAGTATCTATAAGGATGAGTTTTAATGCTCTCTTGACATTGAAAACAAAGAAAATACAAACAATAGCTAATAGTTATTACTTGCCTGATCACTTGAGTTTTGGCACATGCAAATCTCTTTCAATACATTATTGAATTTATTATTTTTATAATTCTGTATATAGGTATATTTGTTAGTTCTAGTCAACCTATGGGAACCCAGTTTAAGGAGATCGAATATTTCCCAATTTTATACAGCTGTTAGGGAAAGGAACAAGAGTTGTATTCATCTTATTTTTTAATAAGTAATTCAAAAAGCAACTTTGAGGTCAAATGAACATATAGAAAATGAAGATATTTAAGACGTTCAATTGGATACATTGTGACGTGTGTATAGACCAATGAAGCCATATTCCTGAAGCCAAGATACTATCTGTCACCACTAAAAGTTTCCATTTTGTGAACCCTTCTAATTACCTTACATAGGGAAACTACTGATCTGCTTTCTTCTGTCAACAGCTACTTATGTGGCTTTGTGTACAATGTTTTGGTAGTTATATAGTTGCTTTTCTCTTGGAGATAAATGACTTAATCAAATGTTGGTTGTATTTCTAACTTGAATGAGACCCTGCTAGACTGTTTCCCAAGTTATTTAACATTTGGTTTTCTTGGAGATTTTGGAAGAACTTTGAGGTATTATTTTTTTTTAATTTTTAATCATTCTAATAGGTCTGCAATGTTTCCATCATATTTTTAATAGTTGTTAAAGGAGATCCAACATCGACACAACGGCAGTGAGTTTGGTTTTAGGTTTGAAAGTGGAGGATCAGTGAAAAAGAGGAAGACTCTCAATGAAAGAGCTGGATGGACACATCGGTTGCAACGATTTTGAGCATGGCGTAGGGCCCTTCAGTGTGCTGGTTCAACTCCATAGGGGGGCGGGGGGCCGGGCTTGATGGCACCTAACCACAATGATGGATTATTTTGAGTGTCCTTCCATATTCTACTGACATATCTTTTTTGGTGAATTTTCTTCACATTTTATATTTTTTTCTTCTACTTTTTTCATATTTGAAAGTTTTGAAAGTTCTTTCTACATTACTGATATAAGTGATATACCAGATATATGCTTTACAAGTATTTTCATCCAGTTTCTGTCTTATAATTTTTAAGGTATCTTTTAAGGAGAAAAAATGTTTAATTTGATGAGGCTTAATGCTTTCTTTTCTAGATCATATTTGTTATCATATCTAAAACAACCACTTAACAGAAGAACCCAAAGAGCCTTTCTTATATTTTCTTTAAATATTCTATTTTGGGTTTTATATATAACTTTATGATCCATTTTGCGTGTATGTTGCATAATATTAAGTGCACCTCAATTTTTCCAAGGTCACTTGTTGAAAAGATTATTCTTTTTCCACTGAGTCGCCTTTGCACTATTGGCAACACATTTTTGTAGTGGGTAATTTTCTCTGCTTTCTCATATGGTCCACACTATCTTGAGAATTGTATTATTTTTAATAAGACTTGAAATCAGGAAGTGTTGACCTTCAAGTTTTGTTTCTCTTTTTCAGAGTTATATTTGCTATTTTTTGCTGTATGCATTTCCAGGTGAATTTTAAAATGCTTGTCAGTCTATACAAAAGCAGTATACTGGGATTTTGATAGAATTATGTTAAATCTATAACTCATTTGGGGGAGAAGTGAAATTTTAACAATATTGAGGCTTTCACCCTGTGAACGGATTTTGTCATTGGCCTTTAATTTCTTTCAGCGACATTTTGTAGTTTTAGTGTACAAAATTAGACATCAGTGGCAAACATGTCCCTAATTATTTAATATTAAGTAATATAAATTTCTCTATATACCTCACCGGTAACATCCCTTAAATTTTGATATGTTATGTTTTTCATTTTCATTCAATGGAAAGTACTAATTTTCATTTGCTTAGCTTAAGCTTTTTCACTCAACTCACTAATTACTTCCAAAAGGAAGAATTACTTAGCATCCATACTCTTGCTAATTCAGAGTCCACATCACTTACTCCTGGTAACTTCACTGGTGCAGTCGTTGGTCATCTTTGTTCATTTGTGTTACTTGCTAAATCATGTCTGTGAGCCCGAGGTCGGTGCCCTGCCCTTCTCATAGTCCTTGCCATGTGGTAAGAACCAAAAAATATTTATTGATGAATGGATGTTGTATGTTCCCTCCTACCAATCAGGTAAGATTTGGTCAGTTACACATTACCTTGATTTCACATTTGAATAATATTTTGAATGTGACGCGTTGCTCTTTTATGCTCTTCTGGGGTTGTAACTACGTAGACTTCAAGACATCTGTCTCCTGCTGTGCTGTCCTGAAAGAGGCCACTGTGGCCTTGTGGTCTCTGTTGTAGTACTTGGTTCTATTTCTCTTCCCTTCTCAATTGGGCCAATCAGTCGCTGTCTTAGTTGGTTATTTCTCTATGCTTAGGAGATAAATTAGTACTATCTTACCTGTCAGAATGCAGAAAGTTAGTAACTCACCAGAAGATAAAAGGAGACCCATGTCTATTAAAGTGATGGCTTTTCTAGGATTATACTCAAATTTAGGAAGAGTGTCTCAGCATTATAGTGGTGTATTATATAAAAAATACGTATATATCTATGTATATATATAAAACAATCTGACCACATTTTAGAAGAAGCACATTTTCTTCTCTAATTAGGCGTAGCTCAGGTTGACACCCCATTATAGTAAATATGCTTTAGAAGAACCCTTAATGTGGCATGTGGATATATTTCACATAGGTAGACTAATGAGCTGGGAAAAACAGCTCTAAGCAAAATCATGAAATCAAGCCGTATTTATGTTTGGGTGTCACCGTCACCGCCAATCCCTTATCCCCCTTTCTCACACCCTGTGGCACCATGATGGATTACCGTTGGCTCCCAACAACTACCCAATGGTAATAATGATTCATCTTTGGAACATTTCCTTTGTGCCAGGCATTTTGCATAGTGATTTCTACAGAATTCATAGATTGGATTTTCATAATTGTCTTATCAATAAGCATTATCATGAGTCTGGTTTATAGCTGAAGGAACTAGTAAAGGGTAACCCATTTCTAAATCACAGGAGTGGGGTTCAAATCTGGTCGAAATTGTGCTGGCTTATCAGGTCAAAATAGACCCATCTTTTCCCTCGAGAGATTGGAATTCTGTTTTCTGACAATGGGCCATTTAAAATGAATGTGAGGCAGTGGTGGTTTTATGGAATTAGTGCCTTTCCTTTTTTAAAAAAAATCATTTTATTAGGGGGTCATACATCTCTTATCATAATCCATACATACATCAATTGTGTAAAGCACATTTGTACATTCATTGCCCTCATCATTCTCAAAACATTTGCTCTCCACTTAAGCCCCTGGCATCAGCTCCTCATTTTTTCTCCCAGAATTCGTGCTTTTCATGCAAGAAACCTGAGTTAGCTTCTCAGCCATTATGCATCAAGAACCGCTACCATTCATCTTGTTAGTGGACTCGTGGTGGTACTTTGATGCTGAGCAAATTTCAGTGGCACTTCCAGGCTAAGACTAAGTAGGAAGAAAGACTTGACCATCTGCTCCTGAAGATCAGACGGTGTGAACTCTGGAGCACAGCAGCAGGTCCTTCCATGAGTTGAAGGCAGATTCAACAGTAGCTACCCATAATCCATGCTAACCTTTCAACCACGCATATGGTTTTGCCCTTTATCTAACGACACCATCCCTCATTAAGAATTAAAATATACAGAAAGGGACAAAGACTGTCAAGCTGAAGGGAGAAAGTAAGGAAGATTGCTGTAGAACCAACATGCCAGTATTAATTGTATTTTTAACACTGAAAGTAATTATTGTGATCTCATCATGATGTGTTTACATTTTTTTAGTGCCTTGCTACCTGGGAATCTTTCCTTACATCACAAACCGACCTCCACTTGGAAGAAACCTCTGAAGAGAAATCTTAATCCCCTTGAGGACTTCTGTGTGATCCCTGTGAGACCGCATCTGTCAACCAAAGTTATTCTTTCTAGATGGGCTGTAACTTCAATAATGTGGATGGAAAATGGTTTTACACTTTGGAAAATCAACAACTTGAAAACAGGTTATTTCCAGATTATTGACAAGAAGTTGAATGTGGAGTGTGTGTGTGTATGCAAACATATACAGACATACATGCCTACATATATATACATGTATACATTTTTAGAAGAGGGCTTCTAAAAATTCATGGAAAATGAAATGAAAAGAAAACAAATGGATTTTAATGAACTTTTTGAAGTCCTCATCTATATTTTACTTAATTTGAATTATGTTCTTAAATCTGTGTGCCAATAATTACATATGGAAATAATTGCTCTTGCCTGTAGGACATGCCATTTTAAATATGTTGTAAAATAACTGTTTTAATAAAAAATAAACTTTAATACAAAAAAGTCTGGCTATTGTGTATTCTTTTTCTGCTACTGAAGTCAATTCTAATATAAACTCAGTATGACTTCAATTCTAATAAACTCAGTATGACTCATCATGTATATTAAGTAATATAGCTTTAAATTGTTATTTGGATTCTTAGTTAGAAAGTCATTATAAAGTTATTTTATCTATCTCCAGAAAATTAAAAAATATATTTTATACATTTTGTACATTTCACAACTCCCGTCTAGATTACAGTGTTAATCAATTTATTCTTTTCTTCAGTGTTTAAATACCTGTTTTTGCAAAACATAGGTGTAAGTACTTATGGCTTCTGGTGATGACAACCACGCCTCCACCTTTCATTTGAGACCTATGTTCTAGTGGTGTTGGGCAGACAGAAGTGATTGCAGATTGATTTGGGGTTGTCACTGTCGGGGATGAATTTGTGTGCAGCAGACCAAAATCCGCCCAGTCCAGGGACCAGCCTTACAGTGTTGACTCTGTATGAAGCCGTTGCTGCAGCCCCTGTGTCAGTTCTTTGCCTCAAGGGTCACCTCGTTTTCTCTGATTCTCTGTGTGAGGTTTTTAAATGATGCCTCTTTCCAGGAGGCCAGCAGAGCCCTGGGCGTGTAGTGGGTTGCGCTGAAGAGTGCTTCACGGCCTTGGAAGCTCAAGGAAACCAGAGATTTGACTCTATGGCCATGAATGAGTTAGTCTTCAAAGTGACATCTTCACTCTTTAATTAATGTTACAACTACATTATTAAACCAATATTTTGTTATTAACTTTTACTTATTTTGGGAAATAGCTATTTCTCAAGACTGAGTATAGTTTGGGGTATTGGCACTTGATACAAGTATGTTTCTCAAAAAACTAGACATATAAATTAATTAAACTAAAACAATGGTATATATATGTATATAAAGTTGAACATTTAAAAATAATAACACATATAGTTTGTAAAGCATTCTAATAAAGTCTGACTCCATTTTGGGGTATTTGCTGACCGTTTTTGAGCTTCACCCCTCAGTCTTCCTCTGCAGCCCCGCATGTGGGCGAGGAGTAAAAAGAGCCGTTGTCCATTTCTTTGGCACTGATGGGAATTCAAGTTGTGTGAAATAGTTTATTGTGCCAGCCTGGCTGAGAAACGCAGGTGGGATTGACTGAGGGGCGGAGAGATGGATGGCTTGGTGAGTCTTGCCTTTCTTGTCTCTCGCTCTTTGATCATCGGACCAGTGTGTGGCTGCCTTGCTTGTTCTGTGCCTCAATTTACAGGCTACACTACCTGTGGGACGCCTAGCCTGTGGACTGTGTTGCTGTAAGTTGAGGTCCCTTTACGACATCGCTGGAGCTGGGGACTGGCAGTTGGTGACCTGGCTGGCAGTTGGTGACCTGCCTTCTGGTTGGCTGCTGTGCTGACATAGCCTAGCTCTCTCTATAAATAGAGGAAGATCTGGCAGCAGATCGGACTGGAAGGACTGCTAGTCTCTCACATCTCTCTCATGGCAGTGAGTTGAATTGAGCTATTTGTAGTGTTTTATAATTTAACTGTTTCTTTCTTGTATTATATATTTAACTATATGATTTAACAGTTCATTCCTTGTTATATATCTACTTATCTTTATAAATAAATATATTAAATTATCAGCAATTTGGTTTTATCTCTCTAGAGAACCTTGTCTAACACATTTTGGTACCGGGAGTGCTTCTAGAGAAATAAAATAAAATCATAAATATGGGCTTCTTAAATTGGCTCTCCAATCTAGCCTCACCCCTTAAAAACCTCAATCCAGTCTCCTGCCTGTGTTCTGAGGCTACCTGTAGGCAAAATAGGAGATTTCTACCTTATTCTCCCGGAAAAGAGCTTCATCATAAATGACAGCAGAATTGTTCATGCCGTGTGTGTGTGTGTGTGTGTGTGTGTGTGTGTGTGTGTGTGTGTGTGTGTATTAGTGTCATCACCAGGCTTGACATCAAGAACAAATTTTGATTAAGGGTACAACCTCTTTCTGCATCCTGTCAACAACACTATTATTTATAGATTGAAATTCTGCCAGGTATTCTGGACAGCATTTTACAAGCTGTTTAACCCTCTGAACTTCAGTTTGCTAACCAGGCATGATGAAGATAGCAGTCCCTACCTCAAATGGAGATAATAAATGTAGCTAATCACTAAATCATGGATTGTTCAATGGTAAAATAAATTTAGACCACCTTATAGAGAAATGATGTTCAACAAGAACATTAAAAGCTTTCACAAGGACCATTCTACTTTTAAGCACAGTTGTATTTCTTCTCCTCTATAACTTTGATTGCCCTTCCTCATTTCTCCACTTTTTATTCAAATGATGGCCATTCTGCAGGCAGGCTGCTCATATACCGGTTGCCTTCAGGTGAACTATCTGCTTACAACTCCATGTTGTGCCCTGTAAGGTTTCCAGTGACTCCTTTTTTGGAAGTAGCTCACCCAGCCTTCTGGTATATTTCTGGGTGTACTCGAACCCTTTACCTTTCAATTTGTAAATATTTGATTTAATAGTTTGTGTTGATAGATAACCATACTGACATGAACCACTCTTGCATTCCTGGAATAGATCTGTTTAGTTACAATGTTTTTACTGTTTTAACTACATTGCTCTTTTTAAAAATGTTGCATTTTACGATCTGCATTGTGTTAGGGTATGGAAGAGACCTCCAATCTTAGATATAATTTAAGGAGAACATTAATAAGTCTTAAATGGGATAAAGACACACCATCTTGATAAGGGAGACTGTTAACTGGAGGTCATAAGAGTACCCATGGGTTTCCTGAGATAGCTTCAATAGGGACATGGGAGGGCAAAGGAAACTTAGAAAAGGATGTTTGGTGGCAGATCAGCACAACATAGTTATAAATGGGACTACAGAGGGAGGGAATTCAAATTGTGACTATTTGCATCCTTGATCAATGATCAGAAAGAATTCAATGGAGGCTTAACCCAGGTGGAAATTCCATAAATGGGTTTGTGGATTTTGCTATTATGACAGAAGATCAAAACCACACACTGCCGCTGAATCCATTCCAACTTGGTAACCCTACAGGACAGCATAGAACTGTCCCTGTGAGTTTCTAAAATAGTGAAAAGCCTAGTCGGGGTTGTCTCCCCAGCGCCTGCAAAGGCCCGTGTAGAGGGGTTAGAAAGCAATCAGGCACTGACTGGAAACTCATGGGAAACCCAAACTGAGCATGCACAGAATAGGACCCTAGCACCGGTGAAACCTAAAACTTAGCTTCCACCTAGAACTAAGACATCACCTAAGTGGGCCTAACTCAGCCAAAGGGGTCAACCAATACCTTCAACCACGCATACACCGCCCCCACCCCAGCACCACCCCCACCAACCAGAGGTGTTAACCCAGGCTGGGGGATGGCCCTGTCTCTTTTTACTCTTGCCCAGGTATAGGATGCAGGTGGAGGGTGTGGGTCTCTCCCACTTTTGTGGTGCACCTGCAGGCTCTCTGGTGCCCCACACCCCCTCTTGGGCTCTTGGTATCGTATTTTTAAGATTGGGACAGATTTAGCTTTTCAGACAGTAAGTTTACATCAACCCAAGGCCTTGATTCTGTGCGCTAGGCATTAGGCTGCTAAACACAAGGAAGGCAGTTCAACCCAACAAGCCACCCCTTGGGAGGAAGCTGGCATTGTCTGCTGCCCATAAAGGCAAAGAGTCTCAGAAACTATAGCCAGTGGGTCCTTTCCAACATTTTATTTTTTTTGGTCAATGTTTGCTTGTTATAAAGCATTATGTCAGGGTGGGATTGGTAGGAAAGTGTAAATGATATCTTTTTATTTACAAGAATTTTGAAATTTGGATATGCACCATTTTCAAGTTACAGTAAGGATAATTTGTATATGGGATTTGTTTGCTTCTTGTTTGAGGGGAATTGTATGGGCAGACAGGAACCTAGAGTCCCACCATTGGCTTTAGCCATTCTAACCGTTTGCAAGCTCCTAGCTTACCATGGTTTGAAAGTACATAGAATCCTTTCTAATTTCTTGACAAAACATAGCCCAATACATATTCTTGATTAACCTAACTGGTGTAAAACAAGCTAGCTTATCATAAAAATATTGGGTCAAGGACCTTTATTTTTGAGATCCTGAAGATGTTAATGATCTTTTCACTTAATAGGCTATAGATGAGTAATCAATGTCAGTCTGCTCTTTTCCTTTTTTCTGGAAGCTCATGAGATTTTATTTTGAGGTTGGGAATTTCACCATGCATAGTGGATTATAAGTATTGGGCTGCTAAACTACAAGATTGGT